GTCTCCGGCCTGCTGTGGTACGTGATCCTGCTTCGTGAGTACCGGTATTACAGCTGCCTTCCTCCGTCGTGCATTGGCTAGAGGCCAAATACTGGGGGTGCTAAAATTATGTAGATAACATAGACTCGTAGGTACTATGCCCCCACACACCCAAATACCATACTCAATTTTAAAATTACTATAGCCATTCCTAAATGCACATTAAACACTTAAGGACACTAATATTTAAGTAAATCAACAGTAATATATAACCTATTTATAGAGAAAAAAAAATTAAAAGCTGAAAATGTCCGTATTCAGCTCAAAAAGAGTCAAAATATTTTCAAAATTATATGGTGTATAGGAAATGCTAATATAAACATTCAGTGAAATTTTCAAGTATCTACAGTCATTCGTTTTTTAATTACAACAAAATTAGAAAATCGTTACATGAGAAATCGAGTGAATATCAAATGTTGTAAAAATATGAATTTCAAACGGTCATAAAAATTTAATTTGAGGTTCTTGTAGACATTTTTTTTTTTGATAAATGTAGACAAACTTATGAGGAATCTTGTATTACATTTTCATATCTTAGATTTAAAAAGAAAAAGTTTTATGAATTTCTAACTAGAAATAATTTGCAAATTTTCGTCATTTTTACGTATTTTGTCAATTTTTGAACTTTAATTGCTTATAAAAAAAAACTGTGACAAAGGATTTTTAATATTTCTCATCCGCCTTTGAAACCATGTACTAGGATCTTCTATTAAATTGCCAAGCTTTTTTAACTAACAAATAAAATTTTATTGATATTTTAAGAAAAAAAACTAAAAAAAAAATGGAAAATAAAAATGTTCCTAAACAGTTCAAAACAATTCATAATATTTCGAAAATTTTATCGTTTATAGAAAATGCAAATATAAACAACCAGTGAAATTTTCATGTATATACGTTCAATTGGTTTAGAGAAACAACAAAAACCACAATCGATTTTGTGTAAAATGGATTTAGCGTAAAAATTCCCGTTTTTATTAATTTTTCTTTTGTTTTTCAAGGCGCTTTTGAAAACTACTGTAAAAATTTTACTTTTTACCCCCGAAAGTACCAACTAGATTCACTTTCCTATCAGAAAAGATACTGTTGAAGGAAATCCAAGCACGTTTACTGTCCTAAAAGGTGATGACAGACACAAAAAAAAAATAAAAAATAAAAAACACACATCATTGTAAATTATTCAATACATTCATCGTTCCACTCAGAATCTAAAATCGATTAATGGGAATTCAATTTAACGCTGAATTTCGAATATCGTAACAATTTTAAGTTCAAACACTCATAAAAAATTAATGTTCCGTTTGAGTGTAAGTTTAATTTTAGAAGTTTAAAAACTTATGTGAAATCTTTTATTAAAATTTTTAATCTTAGCTATGAAAAGAAAATCTTTTATACATTTCTAACTGAAAATTTTAAAATTTTGATGAATTGTAAATTCTTATATTTGATATACCTATAATCATTACAAACAATAATTTGTGTTTCTGCTAAAAACGAAGAAATAAAAAAAAAACATTACGTAAATCTAAAAAAATTTTTTCATATGATTTTTCAATTTTTGTTGTTTTTGAACTAGGGGCGCTAAATTAAAGTTGGGGGTGCCAAAGCACCCCCAAGCACACCCTAGTTGTGCCTATGTGCCCCGTATTATGTTCACCAAATAACCCAATAATGTCTCCTAGTATAGCGTCTTCGTCCTTGCCGTCATCGAGTTTTGGTTCCAAATCTTTAACTTCTATAGTGTTAGCGGTTCATCATCCTCCATTGGTATAACCCATGTATCAAAGCATTCAACAACATGTATCATGGCGATTGCTTCAGCGAAGTCACTAGTGGTGGCCATTTTTGATTTTGGTGTTTTCAGATCAGACGTTTAATAGCAAATAAACTCAAAGTTCAATTCAAAATCAGTGAACTCGAAAAATGAAAACACGACGCGAGTATGGTCGTTGCGAAGTCGTTGTTCTAATCAACAATCGTTAGGATTTCGGGCCCATTTATTTTTCCAAAACCATTATTAGATATATAGGTAGGTACGCGTAGTTATAATGTATTAAAGTATAAAACTATAATATTTGAACAAGGATTTGTGTTTCGATTCGTATTATACACTGCAGAACTGCGCTCATTTTATACTTTCAGCTTTTATAGTAAAAAAGTAACCAATCTTGAATTCTAAGGGACAAGGGTGATTTCTGATACGAAATTGTATTTAGTCGGAGCCCATTGAGATATATATATTGAAATTTATTTTTACCTACCTGAGTACCTATCGGCTATCATCGTTTATCCATTATCTGCAGTTAGAACTTGGAATAGTTCAATAATTCAGTGAGATATTTATTATTCATATTTAAATATTATATTTTATAAACCTATGAACAGATGAATTTATTAGATTTTAGGTTTCCGGTTAAATTTGTTCCGGTGACTAACAATATAATAAAATTAGGTAGTTCTTAAAGTATTGTGACGAACATCTATTGCGAATTGCAATATACTAACAGACAATAATAATTACAGACTAAAAACTCGGACCAGACGAAGACACCAAAACACAAATTCTTACATTCTTAGGTACACTAAACTAAACTGTAAAAAAAAATTGTAATTGTAAATTGTAACTAATGACCATTGTAGCTGATGTTAATTAAGAACAATAAAAAAAAAATAATAATAATTTCGCATTGGCTAATAATAATATAAAATAATTACATTTACATACAATGATATAAATATACTAGCTGATCCCGGCCACTTCGCTACCCGTTAAATGTACAAACTGTATATGATTCAAACTTTGTTCAATGCGTTATTTAATAATTGGGGTATGATGTTCTAGATTTATCTTAACTTTTCTGTTGCCTGGAATAAAATATCTAATTCGCAGCAGAATATTATCAGGTAGGCAATCTACCTGCGGTAGATCGCGGACCCCGTGCTGTTTGTACGTAAGTATATGAATATATGATTTAACTCTAAAGTATCAAAGTTATATCAAGTATGTCGTATTCCACCTATGGTTAGGTATACTGAATATGCATATAAAATTTCATAAAAATTCAGTTTCGGGAAAAAGCGTTAAAAGCCGTTTCGGAGGAGTATGGTAACGAACATTGTGACACGAGAATTTTATATATTAGATAGTAAATAATAATAATTATAATATACATGTTTGAAACTCTCTTTTAGCATAATGCTTCTGTTGGGAGATATATAAGTTTGAGTTAAGTACAATACCTACTAAAGTTGTGAGCTAAGTGATATTTACAAAGAAAAATAAAACATTTAACAAATGAAAATTTCATTAAAACTAATTAGGTATAATGGTTAATCTTTTTCTTATACCTAAGAATATTTTTAAAAAAATCTAGCTTTTTAAGTGACAAATCAATATTAATATTATGGGGACGTGATACCCGTATGTATTGTATCTGTCTTACAAGTGCGTAACATAGCAAATTATACGTAAAGCAGAACACGTGTAGCACCGTTAGCTTAAAAATTAGAGTGAATTGACCTCTTATAAAATCTAAAGGTAAGATTATTAATTATTATATAGACAACCTCATGGGCTTTTTATTATATTTTAATTTTAAAGCGAGCTATGAGTATTTTAAAATTGTAAATTGTTTGTACATTTTAAAGCACTCATAACTCAAATTATTGTGACTGTGAATATACTAAACAATTTCACAAATAGGTAAACTAATATCATCAAAAATTATTTCACAAGTGTAAATTACTGGTAAACGAAAAAATAATAATAATAAATTTACAAATATTTTGAATACATCTAGTTAAACAAATATATTTAATAAATTACGTCATATTAATGATAATGAGTAAATTTAAGAAGATCTTTCTTAAATGTTGACCTATTTGCATTGAGAATTTAGGAATATCTGATTTGTCTTCAGCAAAACATTGAGATAAAATGTTCAATAAAATCTTGTTTTTTTCTTGTTAATCTCTCCTGCTTCAGCTAATGACATTCTTGCCCTATCTGTTCCAACTTCCAGGCAGGTTTACGTGGCCAACATCTCTTTAGTGGTATTTTGAGTTTCTGCTCATATATACAACAAAACAAATCATCGAACGATATGTTTCCATAAATAAACACTCGCATACAAAAAACAACTCTAAACACTACTGGATACAAACTTTTATTGGTAGGTACCATGAACTATCTCCAAAAAAGATTTGTAAACCCAATTAGTATTATAAATAAAATAAGAGGTACAGTGGAAAATATGATTTTATTTAATCTGCAATGGGAGACTTTTTTTTACCAGGATATAAAAAACAGAAGTTAATAGCACGAAGTTGGATAATAGATTCATTGGTTCTAATAAACATACATTTGTTATTTATGTTGCGCAAGATTCAAAAACCAAACACAAAAGTGAAACCTCCTATATAGAGAGCAACTCCCTGTTTCCTCCTCTTGCAATCAGTAGTTAGCAGTCTTATAGACTTATGAAATATTTACATTTAATACTAATATAATATATGATATAACTGTTGACCATTAGTTTATTGTAGAAGAGTTAGCAGAAGACAATAATGAGTGTTTAGTAAAGTTGCCGTAATTATCTATTTATTTTGTCATAGATATCTAAAGCAAAATACATAACGTGATAAAGTCTCTAGTTCTAATTCTTTATGAACATTAGTTACACCCTAATTAAAAAAATAATATAAATATTAGGTATCAAATTATAATATTATTTATTATAATTATAATTTTTTTGTTTTTTAATTATAAATTACAATAAGCATACAAAAACTAAACATTCCTAAAAAATAACATTTCATTGACCTATAGATTTTGTATAATAATATATAACTAATGTAAAAAAACAAACTTGTTATGTACCGATTCTATATTTTAACATAAAAAGTACATTGTTCATAATAATTTTGCAACTACATTTTCAATTTTCATTTATCAGTTATCTTTATTACATCAAACCTGAAAACAAATAACAGCAATTAATGAAAATTCATCGTAAATTATAAAAAATTGACATTACGGTTAGCTTCCTTGCATTGGCGAATAGCCTCGTTAAATCCAGAACACAAAGAAATATCATCATTGTTTTGTGCACACTGCAAAAACTGTTTGACTTCAAAAGCACACGCTCCACCTTGCTGGCTACTCTGCTCCATTGGCATTAGCGGCGCTTGTTGAACTTGAGGCTGTACCTCATCCCGGGATCCACCGCCCCCAAACATTCCTGTGACTGCATGACCAACAGTGTGACCCTAAAAAAATACATAAATTATTGTTATTAATTATATTTTACTGTAAAACTATGGGCCAGTTGTACCATCCCCGATTAAAGTTAACCTGAGTTCAATTGGCCAAATTTGCCTGGTTAAATATCTGTTATCAGCCGATTAAGAGTAATCAAAGTTTAACAGTTGACGGTACAACTGACACTATAAGTATTAATTATTATACATACAATGGCAGAACCAACGGCAACACCTCCAGCGGTGGCAGCCATTTGGGCAAATAATCCAGGTTGTTGAGGTTGTGCTTGTGGCGCTTGTGCTACTTGTGTTGGTTGAGGTTGTGGAGCTGGTGCACGCTGTTGTGTTCTAGCAGGGACTGATGACCTAAAATTTGAATGCTCATTTAAATAATTATAAACATTGTTGAGCTTAAAAATTAGTATCGGCTTCAGAATTGCATTGTATAATTATTTTGAAAAAACTAAAATAATAGGTAATATAGGGCAGTATTTCCCAATTAGTATGAATCCATGAACCCCTGGATAAAACTTAAATTGGTTCGGGGACCTCTCTTTTGTAAAAACTTACTTTTAAATATGAATAAATTAATTATCTACCTTTTTCAGAGTAAATCGAATTTCAATATTCCAAAAATACACAGAATTTCAAACGACTATGAATTTAATAATTTCACTAAATTGAAATAAAAATAAAAAATCATTACATTACCATAGGATTGGGATTTTTTTTTTTAACTCTAGGGACACAATATTTTTTGAAATGTCAGGGACGTTCTTGTCCCTCTGGCTTGTAAGACGGGACACGGGACAAAAATTTAAAAAACGCATGAAAATCATGACATAAGGGTCCGTAAGGGTCCCTTTAAAAATTGAAGCTGGACGCGGGACAAGTATATTAAAAATCGGGAATGTCCCGCCAAATCGGGACGTATCCCAACCCTACATTACCACACAACCGCGGACCCCTTAACATCAACAAGTGAACCTTTGGACCGCAGACCACCAATTAGGAACCACTGATATAGGACAACCTGTATTTTTATTTCATATTCGATTAAATTGTCACACTGTATATTAATAACTATTAAGTTAATTTTAGGTGACAATTGTAAAATATATATATATTTACAGGGTGTCCCGTGAGGATTTACTCATTGCGATATCTCCTGAAATAATGGAGATATCGTAATTATGTTTTTTTATTAAGACTCGCAGAGGTAAGCACTACAAATATTTTATTTTTTAATTAAATTAAATTTTTTAGTAAAAAAGTTAAAAAAATTATTTTTTTATTTTTGAAAAAATTGAAAATAGCCATTCTATAGAGTATATTTTTGTGAACATTTTGAGCTTTTAACATTTTATTTTCATTAATCTCATGATTTTTAGTAATTTTTTTAGTTTATTAGTAAAACGTCAATAAACTGGTTTTTGTCCGGGCGGCGAGTCCCCCTCTACGGATAATGAGTAAATCCTCACGGGACACCCTGTATATATAGATTATTTACTAAATTAATGTAGGAGCCCCATAAAACGTTAACTAAAAATTTTAAATAGGTAATAGAATCATATTTATAAAACGTAATAGGTAAGGCTATATGACTATATCAGGTTTAAATAAATATAATTAAATTAAAATGAAAATATAACACCTATGTATTATAACATGAATGACCTCATTTAAGTTGCACAATGCTATGCAAATTCTTATAATATACCTATGATGCCCATAGGATATAAATAAGGAAATAAAATATTGCCAACTTTTTTTTTGGGACATAAACAAGAATCTAAACCAGAAAATCAATGTAGGTATATCATCCATAAAGTTTTATACTCACTAATTATTTAATTCATAAAAAATGAGGTACCTACAATAAAAATGTATGAATGGGCAGTACCTATCAATTTTTTGAATGATTAATTGATACAAATGGAACAAACAATTTAGAATTACAATTGGTACAAGAACTATTATTGTTGATGGATACACTAGTAGGTATAATTATGAGTCCATGTATTAATGCGTATAATGAAATAAGTTTTCACGGTAATCATAGTACAACATGATTAAATATTACCTAATTATTTAATGATTTTAAAAAAGTTTCAAAGAATTAGAAATTGTTTCATGTTTGTATAAATTATTAATGTGTTGTCTTATTTACATATTTTATATACCTTATATTATTTTAAGGTATTTCATTTCAAAAACCTATAATATTATGTAGACGAGTCAATACCAGTCACCCAGTATGGCCTTTTCTCTATGTTTAGTTTTGGTACTAATTAGGTTTAAACATTATAGCCTGTCAGCCTATAAACAATGTGCCTATCAATTTTGTGTCTTTGATTATTTAATATTTTTGTTTTATTGTTAAATTAGTTATATTTAAAAAAATCATCTAATTATTTATACGTTAAACAAATTTAGATTATTATTTTTATACGTAAGGAGTGGTGTAGATAATGCTACATTCTAAGCATGTTAATTTGATTAATTTTATAGTGGATTTTTTTCAACTACCTCTACGCAACACGTAGGCACAAATGTAACGTTAGGTATAGGGTTGGCTATATCGTACTAAAGAACCACATTTTTCAAAGGGTTGAATTTTAACTACCTATTTCGGATAGAAATTTATGAAAGAGTGAAATAAATTTAAAAATTCAACACCGATATCAATGCTGGGTTAATTACTTTTGAAAATTAATAAAATTACGTTACTCGTTACATTAAATATTTTTATTTAAATTACATTCATGTTAGCCGACATCATTTTGATCACGTTACGTTACTTTAACATTCAAAAAGTAGGGCATTACAAATAGTTACTTTCTTAAAATATAACTTCAAAATCAGTCATTAATGACTAATAAGTAGTATGCTATAAAGTATTAATTATTATATAAATTGTATAGGTAAGTGTAAGTGTATGTCATCGATGATGCAGCCATGTAGGTACATTGTTAATTACTTAATGTTATACATGAACAAAACGTATAAGTACTAATTCCTTTGATCATTCATATTGTTGGTTATTATCTAAAACTTTCGGAATCATAAATATATATTTTTTTCGAATATCCTAGTCCCTAGTTTTTGTCATACGCTCAACGTTCATAACTTAGGTATTTTAATAACGTGGAAAATAATACGTTCTTCAAGAAGAAATTACTTTTCAAAAGTAAAATATAACGAAATTACAACGGTGTTACTGCAAAAGTAATTTCGTACCAGTAATTTGTAATTTTCGTTACGTCGTTACTAACCAACACCGAATTCACGCACATAATATACGCTATGGGCATAGAACAATTTGTTATGCGTAACCTTGCCGGAGGGGCGTCTGACTAAGTGCAAAGTACGCGAAGGACTTACCTTCTGGGTGCGGGTGATGGAGAACGTCCACGTCTGGCCATTTCGTCGTTTGGTTTACACAAAATACAAACAAATTTCACAAAAAGGAAACGATTTTATGACTTAGAATTGAAGAAATTAGCGTGGTGGCGCGACTTGATGCAATACTGTAATACGGAATCGTACTGAGAAGTAAAAGATGCGAATAGGTTCTAACTTCTAGTTGTATAATGGTTATGTTAAAATGACTGAAAAAATTTACGACGCGATTGTGTGTATATTGGTGGGGCAGAACAAACAGCTGTATCACTGTGGATTTATTTTCTAGAAGTTTCTCGGCCGTAGGAATCGTAGGATATCAATTAATATTATTGTTATTATTGTTCTGTGTTGTCAGCTGCAGACGTGGTACTGACGTTCGAAACCTCTTTGTGTGAGGCAGTTCGGCCGGTAAAAGATGCGCGCGCTTGTTTGTTATCAACTTTCAATTCTTATCAGTTATCAGCCGCAAGTTGCAACCGACGACGACGACGACTACAACGTCCGAGATTAAAGCGCCGAGCTTTTTCAATTTTTCCGCTCTGGATTCCGCATTTCCGCCGTTTTCCTTGTCAGGTTCCTGCCTCTTTCCTCCCACCGGTCAACCGCCAGTCATCGGCTGCCCGACGTGAACACATCGCATCATCGATATTGCTCGGGACGGGTCCGGCGATCAGCCATCGGTCGAGCACGTGCCCCGTCCACGCGAGATTAAGCTACGACCGAGACCAGACGATGACGCGGTCCGTCCGCTGAGAAAATGCCGCCGTTGCGCGATCGCACCAATAACGAGCGTCGTCCGCCGCGAACTCCGCCACCGCTGTTGAGTGTAGCAACAGACTCATTTTAACCTTGGCCCGAGTTGTTGTGCCGTAATCTCTGACCCGCCCCGAGACCCGACTACGACCAGACCGCAATACTCACTGCGATGGAGTGCGCCAACCTAGACGAGTGTGTCGAGAACTGGGATTCGATAGCTGGCGACTACAAGACTCTCGAGGTACGTCGTGTGATTATATTTTTATAAGTGTCCACCTCGCACTCTCAAAAATCACAAACTCTGGCCACGGCTTCCTATGCAAATCGAGTGTGCTACGATACCACTGCCATTCCTTTCTACCCATTTCTTTTTCCTCCTCAATGGGTACTAGGACACTTGGTTATAATGTCTTCTCCTTGCTCAAAAACCGAAACCAAAGTTTGAATTCTGTCTATCGACCATCTCATAGACTTGCACTTTAATACTTAGGTTTAGGTATACCTGAGTATTAAAGTAATATGATACAGATATAATCAAATTACATTTTAGCAGATTAAAATGCATTTTAATGCTTTTAAATCTTGACTTAAATACTTGATTGTTATTGTAATTTATAGGTAATAGATGTGTCATAATATAATTGCTGTATTGCACAAAAACATGATTTGTGTAATGGACCTTAATTTAATGGACTGATCATAGGTCATACTTTGTTGTTTTTGGAACTGTAACATTTCTATAGATCCTAGTTATAATAAAATACTTTTCATACAATCTAGATCGAGTAGTTAAAATTTATCAAAAATAATGTTAAAAACTATTTTGCTAGGTATGTAACTACCTATATTTATGACTTTTAGATCAGTCATATTATCACTTTCAACTTATTCTTATTGAATTCAACTTATTTTTATTGAATTTCAGTAATTTTTCTTTTCTTTTTACTATGTATATTTTTTTGTTTTATTTCACCTAGTTAGTTTTAATGTAGGTACAACCAACAATTGTCAATTTTACATTGAAATTAGATTTTATAACATCAGATTCTTTTAAACTGTAATACATTGTATAATTATGTATACAATATAATGTATTTGGTTATCATTATCTATAGAATAATAACTATTATAGTACCTATAGGTTTCCTATGATCATTGATCATTATTAATTAGTTTGTAATAAATTAGATAGGTACCTATAAGCACTGTACAACATTGTATAATAATTATTTATTTTTATTTTTAGAATGTCAATAAAGAATATTTAGCCAAGGTAGAAGAGGTTAGTGATCTTCAAGGTCAATGTATGAAACAAGTCAGTCACCAAAAATATCGATTAAATTTTATTGCCAAATCTTTAAAAAAGTAATTGTAATTAAATTCTGTCATTTCGACAATAGTTAGTCTAATTTATTCTGGATTATGGTTGTTTAGTTTTGAAAATGATGAACGCCAAGACATTATACAACGGCTTTGGAAAGATATTAACCATCGTCGCCAACAACTGTCAGATATTGAACAATCACTACCCAAACCTAACGGAACATACTTGAAAATTATACTGGGCAACGTAAATGTATCAATTTTGAATAAAGAAGACAAGTGCGAATATTTCAATTGAAAAATGCAATCATTGTTTGACAAATAAAATGTGTTACAGGTTTCGATATAAAGATGAATATGAAAAATTCAAATTGGTTCTTAGCATTATTGGTTTCTTTTTATCTTTATTGAATTTGGTGACTCATAGGCGTGGAATCGAATTGACCTTTTTGTTTCTTTTGGTCTGGTATTATTGTACATTGACAATACGTGAAAGCATATTGAAAGTAAATGGCTCTAAAATAAAAGGATGGTGGCGGGTACATCATTTTATATCTACTGTGGCTTCAGCCGTACTACTTGTTTGGCCAAATTCTGAAACGTGGTTCATATTTAGGCCACAGTTCATGATTTTTAATGTAGTCATTAGTAAGTATTATATTCTAATTACATTTTTAGTAAATCTTTATTTTAATGTATTTCCAGGTGTAGTTCAATCATTCCAATTTGTATACCAGCAAGGAGTTCTATATAGACTAAAAGCATTAGGCGAACGTCATAACATGGATATTACCATTGAAGGTTTTCATTCTTGGATGTGGCGTGGTCTTAGCTTTCTATTACCATTCTTGTATGTAGGATATATTTTCCAACTGTACAACGCATATACATTATATAAATTGTGTTATCATCCACATGCCACTTGGCAGGTTAGTAAAAACCATTAAATAACATTTTATATTCATCAGTTTAAATAATACCCTGTAATAATTGATCCTAACACAAATTTTGTACACAATGTCAACCTAAATTATGTAACAGTATACCCTTAATTAAGAAATTTTAAATTAAGTAAAATAAATATTATTAAAAAAATTACAAAATAATATTTAATACGTAAATAAAAGAATTATTTTTATGACACATTAAATGTTAAGTGTTTCATAATATTGATATACATTTTTTTATTAGATATTATAGTATAATAAAATGTGACTAAGTATGAATACCATACGAGAGCTTGTTATAAAAATACCTATCTAAAAACAAATATTTATTTAACTGAGTATTTATCCATACAAAAGTGAAAAGTCAACAATAAAAAAATGCCTGATTAAATCATTTTTGAAATGCAAGTATATTTTATAGGTTGTTGTTTGTTTTTAAATATTACAAGTTGAAATTAAACTCATGCATTTGCATATCAATCTTCCTAAGTTGTATTTCCGTGGTTGTATTTAATGCCAGATGACATAGAAATTAATTTCAAGCTGCCTTGGTTAAATATGTAAAGTTTTATTTTACATATTTAGAGGTCTTTTCTATTTTATTGGGCATATTAAATGGCATATAATGGGCATATTATTCATAATTTTGATATTCCTATTTATTTTTATTGAAATGCTATGGAGAAAACAAAATTTGAGAAAAAATACAATAATTTCTATTTTTCCACTTTATAAAATGAATGGTAATTGTCTCAACATAAAATGATTGAAAATATTTTTCAAAAATTTGCTTATAATTGCTTATAATTTCTTCTTTTTTTAATCTGCATATATTTAGATTTGTAGTTTTTAAGTTCATATTTTTTCTGGTAAGTTATAAAACATCTAAACTCCAAAGTAAGATACAAATTTGCTTCACACTTCCCTAATATCACATACATTTTTTTTTGCATATAATATAGTTTTTGTGCTATTTTACTAACTCAAAATTGTAAATAAAAATACAGACGGCACAATAGGTTCCATTTTCAATATTATTCTATCAATGTTGTGTGATAAAAAAATTATGATCACCTGAACTTATATATATTAATACTCATTATTTGTATATCCTTTTTAGGTTCCTGTTTTGTCAGGGTTATTTTTTATATTGTTCTTGGGAAACGCGGTTACTACTTCAATGGTCATTCCAGAAAAACTAAGAGAAGTAAAAATTAGACGAATTATTAAGGTAGTATTAAAAATATATTATACCAATATTCATGTCATATAATTAAGTAATTATTTGCAGACATATACTCGAAAAATGTCTGGCAATCGACTTGGAGCTGACCCCAAAAAAAGTGACTGAAAAATTAAGTAAGAATTTTTAAATCAATGTTTTCTTAGTGTCTTTTTTTTTTTAATAGTTGTATTATTATTATTATTATTATTATTATTATTATTAATAAATAAATAAATAATTTATAGGAATACATGGTGTAACATTTAGAATTTAGATTTTTTTATTTAATACACCATCGCACGTTACGTTATAATGTTATGTATTTGTTTTAATATACCAATTTAATTTTTTATTTAAGGCGTTATTAAAAATCTATTAACAGAGAGTCCTTATTATTCATTGCACACTAATAGAAGATATTCCTTTGAAGCAGACGTGAACAAATTTGTACAAAGTATAATAAAAAATATTGAACAGGTTATTTCATTATTAGAAATTATATTGTTTATTAATTTAAATGTTAGAAAAGACTAACATTTTACTTCTTTTTTGGATCTTTCAAACCAGCTCCGGCATTAAATTTGAAAAATATAATATCCCCATCTTCGACGACGTAATTTCGGCCTTGTTGTCTATATTTTCCTGCAGCCTGAAATGAATAATGTAACATTGTATTTAGGTGTTAGTAGGTATATATAAATAAATAAACATTTCATTAATTACTTTGCAAGCAGCTTCAGTTCCTTCATTTTTGAAATCTTCAAATTTCATTACTTCAGCCATAATGAATCCTTTCTCAAAATCTGTATGAATTCTTCCAGCTGCCTGGGGTGCTTTAGAACCTTTCTATAATCAGTTAAAAAAAATTAAATACAACTTAATTCTATGAACATAAAATATTTTAAATTTACTTGAATAGTCCAAGCTTTGACTTCGCCATGTCCAGCAGTGAAAAAATACTGTAATTGCAATGCTTTGTAACCTTGGATAATAATTTTGTCCAAAGCACTAATTAAAAAAATATTTATATAAAAATAAGTAATAATAATAACTTTTTCAGAGATAGGTCTAACTTAATTTTGATGAACTAAAACTTAATTTTATTTTTTTACTCAAAGCAAATATAAAATATATTTATCGTTTCACTCAAAATCTAAAATTTAACCATAACAAATAAGTAAAAATGAAAAATGTAGCACACACTTTTCACCAAAAAAAAAATATTTCCTGTCTTACTCAAACATTTTAACTAACCTGGTAGCCTGAACTTCTTCCATGTATTTTTTGCGTTCTGGTTCTTCCATTTCAATAATTTTATTTTCAAAAACTCCACTAAACGGTATAATAATTGCACCAGGATCATTTTTGTCAACCCATTCTTTAATTTTGATCAACCACTTGTTCTTTTTTCGAATATAATCTTTTTCCGATAGATTTACCAAATAAATGACTGGCTTTGTCGTGATGAACATATGTTTATTGAGAATTTCTATCTAAAAATAATAAAATTTATCAGTATTTTAAATTATCCAAATTCTGGTTTGTTGATAATTACATCAAGAGCGCTCCAATCACCAAACCTTATATGTTTCTTTTCATCGACTAAAATAGTTTTGATTTTTAGAAAGGTGTCCTGCAAATTTAATTGAAGTGTTAAAATCATTTAAAACTGCGGCTGACTAGTTGCCACAAACATACATATTCTGGTTTGAGTTTTTTATCTCCACCGCGTATAGCTAATTTTTCAAGTTTTTCCAAGTTGACATGAAAATATTCCTCGTCTTTTAAACGTAACTCTTCATTAATAACTTCCATATCTTTAATAGGATTAACTTCACCCTCGATGTGAATTACATCCTCCGCTTCAAATGCACCTAGATATAATAACATATATTATTATTTAATAGCTATTATGAGAAAAATGTTAATAACTATAACAATTTTTTCAGTATAAAAGATAACAAAGAATTGCAACTTGAAGACTTTTACGATTGTTAAAATGTATAGATGAAGACACACATCTTGTTAAAATATTTTCATAAAACAAAAAAAAAAATCAAATTAATATAGGTAATTGCACAACATACTTATATATTATTTATTAATTATTGATAAATACTATTTAAAATAATAAATGTATGTTTATTGTTTAACAATAATAATCATAGAAAAGAAATATATAAAATAAAACAATATTTTATATTTTAATCTTGTAAAAATATTAAAAACTCATATTAATCATCATAATAAAAAATGAACACAATTCTAACATAGTATACAGTGATTAAAAACAAATATATTCTTACTCTAAACTATTTACTGCATTCAAATCATAATCATGTATTTACTACTTAGTAAAATATTATACTTTAAAATGAATATCATGTTTTGTTTTATTTTATTATTTATGGTATTCTTTGTATCGTGAAATAGTAACACGGAGTATAAAGGTGTATACACTTTATGGTACCTGTTTGTTATCGCCCCTCCATAAATAAAAATATTTCAATGTATAATATTATTTTATTTTATTTTAATAGTTTTAAATACATAAATGTATGGTATAAAATTTAAATTCAAAAATGTATAAAAATGTATAAAATATATGAATCTATAGTTATAATGGAGGGCAAAATTCGGAAATATCTTTGAGGATAGTTTCAAATGCGTCTTGTTCTCCGAGACATGTTAACTCATTTCCCTATTATTGTTTGTATAACCTCCAATCATTGCAAAGATACTTCACAATAACCACCTAAATGATCAACACCTTTTGAAATAAACTTAGTTTAGAGCACTGGTTCTAGATCGTTTTACACTATTTTTAATTAAAATTAAACTTACGGCACAAATGGAACAGAGCATCGCACGCTTTTATGTGGGATAAAAAGGCGTTCCCAAGACCTTGGCCTTCCGCAGCTCCTTTGACTAATCCGGCTATGTCTACAACGTTCAAAAATGCTGGGACTTTGCTGAAAAAAAATATAATATACAATTAAACATTAAAAACTAGGCTAGGAAATTAATGACCTAGAAAAAGTGAACTTAAAAAATGGCCAAGAAATAAACCTAAAAAAATTTTTAGTTGTTTTTTGTTCCATAAAAAGTAATAAGTATCTATACAAAAATCTAAACTTGATATGTAGATAAGATAAACCTATACAATACAGTAGCTGGTATCAAATATTAATGACAACAAAGCCAACAGGTATTTAAGAAAGAAAACAACAAAAATTTCTTTAAAATGCACTCATATATAATACTGTCAGAAAAATTGGAAAAAGAAAAATGTTAAACTAGATTTTTGAATCCGATTTTGCACTAGGAATGATGTCCTAGAGCCTAGAGATCAAAAAGAAAAAAATCCTACCACTGATTATACTATACTGTAAACTTATAATATGTGTAACAAGTTGGATGCCGGGTAGCATGTATACATCATAATTATGTTTATGTACATGGATAATGACGTCTCTCGGGTGTATATTATGGAGAGTTGTTTAAAAACATAAAACTAAATTAAAAACGTATAGTGGTGTACTTACGACCTACCGGCTATCAAGCGCCCGAAATTAAAATCCCGTTAACCCAAAGGGTGAATTACGAGGGGAAAATTTTTAAATTACAAAGCCCACCGGGAACGACCGTTGATTGGATTTTTTTCGTCCTCTGGAATTACACGTAAACATTACGATGGAGGTGGGTACAACCACAGCTACCGACCGAGATTTCCTCCCAATAAATCAGTATACCCGACGGCAGCGGTGGCGGCGCCGCAGTGGTTGTGGGAACTGGGAAGCCATTCCGAAGGTATAGGTAGGTACACTTATTGCGCGATGTGAATGAAAACGAAGATTTTTCGACCTCACATTATATTAATATATCTCGCTGACCTTATTAATAGCTAGGTCACATTACGGGGCAGGTATTCTGTAGGTTTTTAGATTTTCACCCGGTCCCCGCGGGCTTTAGTCCGGACTGCAGGGTACTTACGACCTACATATATGATATAGGAGGAGGTATAGGTACCTGCCAGCCTCATATAATAATATTACAGAATGCTTTATTATAGCGCCGACAATATTTTTGGCACCGCCGCCGTACCTACAGTAATTTGTAAACAAGATTTAATGGGCTATTAAAGTTAATTGCGAGTAATCCGCCGGCTTCTGTTATGTATTGTAAAAACCGTAATTATTTTTATATATTTTATTATTATATTATATTAAAAATCGTATGCATTTTTTGTTATATTTTAAAAATATATGATTTACGTGAATATTGTTTCAAACAATATCAAATATCCCAAACCATTAAAAAACCGATTTTAATTTATATTTTACCTACTACCTAATGGCTACAGTGTTTCGAGGGTAAACAGTTTTTTTGAATTAAATATTTTTTTTTTTTTGGTTTTTATATTTAAATTCTCAACACAATTTAGTAAAGACATTATATACATCTAAAAAATTACAATATTTAATGTATTTTTAGTTAATGCTTGGATAGGGCTGGCCCTATAAGAAATTAAAAGATTGTAATTTAAACTTAAAATGTAAGCACCTAGTTATGAATTTCTTTTATTTCGGATATCTTACACGAGAATACCTAATAAGATTTAAATGATTTAAAAGGATGTCAGCGCACTATTCGTTTTCTCTCTCTGGCTCAAGCGCAACATAGGCAAAACGCATTTACGCAGAATCATTTTTTTTTATGTTTTTAAGTAATCTTTGAGTAAAATTACCCATGACAAAAACGATAGAGAGTAATATTTTTGAGGGTGTGACATAGGTATCGATTTGTCTAAATATTGTTTCAAAACAATGTAACCATAATTTAAATTTATTATACATTTTTTGTTTATTTTAAAAGTCGAACACAAAGTCAAATAAAAATAAAAAATAAATAAATGTGGCGGCTTGTGGTTTGGGCGGGACGGGACGATCGCATCCCCCACTAAAATTAATTAAACGAAAACAATTTATTGTATATTATTCTTAATTCTACATTTTTAAAAATATTTTTTATTAAAAATTCAAATTTTTAAACAGTTAAATAGTTATAAATTTAATACATTTGTCGTGTGCCAACATTAAATTTGTTTTTCTCAGAATATACCAGGAGCATAATATTGGTACGCATGTAGGTACACACGAGCAGTGTTAGGACGACCGGGCACCAGCAGCGTAGGCCGAGCAATATTCTGAATACGCATGTCGCGGCAATCGTGTGCTTGAGGGTGCATTTATTGTTTAAGCTGTCATGTTGTAATTACGGGCTTGTCCATACAGTAAAATATTAATATATTACCATTATTGGGATATTCATAGCCCATAGGTACCAGATATTACTATATTAGGTAATTTATTTTTTAAATTAACAGCGTTGTCGGACGCTAACCGCTATTACTATTGGCGATTGAAAGTTTATCAACTAACAGGCTGGCGGGGGTGGATCTATAACGGGGAACATGTAAAATAAGTAATAACATATAAATGATACACCATACACAGCGTCCCCGTTACATATTATCACTTTCAATCGCCATTTATTTTCATTGTCATTTTCTACTGCGACCTGCGACTAGTAGTATGTATATTTTCGACATATACACGTAGGTACGTCTTGTAAGTAAAATATATATTGTTTTTAATTTTAATTAGTTCAACATGTCGAATTCTGTTCATAATTTAATAAATATTACATTTTCTTCATTATCGTTTGAACAAAAACTAAACATAAAAAACGATGGCGGGCCTTTACCGGAATTAAAAGATTTAATGACTAAATATAAAAAAGGAAAAAAAGAATATTTTCGGAATTGTAATCCAGCATTATATCTCAAAAATGAATGGTTATGTGGATGTGAAATAAATCAAGCTCTTTTCTGTTTTCCTTGTTTACTTTTTGGTGGTGAAACCGCTTGGACTAAAACAGGAGTCACTGATTTGCAACATCTTAATGCAAAAATTGTTAAGCATGAAAATTCATTCAAACATATTCACAATGCGACAAACTTGAATTTGTTAGGAAAGTTGATAAAAGACATCAAATTGATATTGGTTATAAAATAGGTATCCAACGCCATAACGAGTTAGTAGATCTGATAAAAATTGCTATGTTCTAGATCATAGATTCTTAACCTTTTCTGGGCCATGGACCCCTTTGAACTATAAAATATAATTACGTATTTCCTACGTTAAAAAGAATTAAAACTTGTTTGCGAAGTACCATGGGAGAAGACAGACTAAACGCTTTATCTATTCTTAGTGTTGAAAGTGAAATGATTGTAGAAGATATAGAATTCAATAAAAAGGTCATCGAACATTTTTCATCAACAGAAAACAGGAGGATGGATTTAACTCAATAAATTAGTTATTATTAAATTATGTAATCATACATATTACATACACATGCTATAATAATATACTATGATAATTTTATAAATAAAATTTTAAGCTTATAAAATAAATAATAATAATATGTGTATTGGGTTTCATTTTATTATATTTACGTGTATCCATTACAGATATGTTGAATTTGAATTCAATGGTGATAAATCATTGAACTTTTATTACCCAGATTTCTATGGATATCTTATAATTTAATGGTCCAGTGTAAGAATAGACTATCTCCACATTATTCAAAATGCATGTTTTTATGTTTTCTGATATAGATGAATTTCGTCTACATTTCAATGCAATAACTATGTATTATTTTATGCCTCCTGAACGATTGAAAAATATTGATAGTCAGTTCTCACACTGCAAACCTTACAACTTATTTCTATTTCTATTGGTAATTTATTCTTTATAAGTAATATCTATCATCTACAGTATGTTGTCATGTCGAACTACTTTTTACCAAAATCCAAATGCTATTTCTCAGGCACATGATATTAATATAATATTAATTATTATAACTTATAATATTGTATCATATTATAGTATCATTTTTATTAACTTATCAATACTGTATACCAAAGAATATTGTGGATAGATTTTTAATGTAAATAGCTGAACATTAATCTAAATATTTTGAACATTTCAATTTTTAGTTCACTATAAATAAATTGGTGGAAATTATGAATTTCATATTTTTAACACATTATTAATTGCAGTTTTAAATAATTATAGTAGGCACTAACCTCGTTGGTTTGAAATATTCAACTAAATAATCAAATCGTTGATCCGGCACTGGTACACGACTTACTGGAAGGAAATAAAAAAAAAATCCTATCATTAATTTATATTTTTTAATAATTAAACACAGTGGTCCAAATATAAAAACATATCTAATGCAGGTATTTGAAATTTGAACCATATAAATTATACCACTGGTAAATGGATAGATGGATAGGTAACTACCTAACTATATTATAAAGTATTATCATTATATATTTAAAAAAATACTTATTTTCATTTGGATCGATGGTACAAAATGGAAAATTTTCAGCTGCAGCTTCACTCTTGGTGAGGACATTGAAAAATGTCGACTTACCGACATTCGGTATACCAACGATTCCAACCTTCAGATTTGTGCCTACACGTCCAATGAGTGGTTTCTTCTCAGGCTCTTCAACTTTTTTGGGTGGCATGATGACCACAGGCCTAATTTATCAACATTATATTTCAATAATTAAATAATAATTTACTAATCACCTACATAATAATTATGACATAAAATGATTACTCCGTACTACAAACTGCATAGTTATTACAGATCATTTTTAAGCATAATATACAAAGAATATAATATTAAGCCATATTAATACTTACACACAATTGGTATAGTGTTTATTATTAAGACTTAACTACTAGAGTTATAATTAATATTAGACTTTAGAACTAAAACCTAAAACTACTGACAAATATTGAACTTCAAAATGTGCTTCAATTGATGTCTATGAAGTTAGCACCCAGACGTTTAGCGCTTATCAATTCTGATAAGGTAGGTAACCGCAGTCCTGCCTACTGTATTGCCTATTCATGTCTTACAAGGGATTTTAATAAAAATATTTAATTTTCATATATAATTCGCTGGATTCAAGATGGATGAATAATAAATAATAATTAATATTATTGAAATTATATTATAAAATGTTATTTAGGAATATTAATACAATTAAAACAATGAGAATCTTATATGCATGCTATGTACTTATGTAACAACCTAATTTAAAAAATATTTATTATCATTAGAAAATATAACATAATGAAACATTTTAAAGTATTTTACTATTCTGAACTACCAGCTAGTATGAGTATGATTCCATAAGAATTTATTATAATATAAATATAAGTTTACAAATATCAACAATTATACACCACTGTTGGAGATTATCATAACTATTTTTAAATTTTTTAGTAATATAACGATTATACGATGCATGCACGAAAACTTAAAACATTATCATTGCATGGGGTATCCGCCTAATAATGTTAATTCAAGCATCAAACATGTGTTATAAAATCGAGGTGATTAAAATATTATAAAAATACGATATTCAAAAATTATATAACAAAAATAAAATACTAATCCCTATACAATCATTAAACAATATGTCTAGATCTTAACAAGGTGTATTACAGACGGTTAATTCAATTCAGCTATGAGAGCAAAGTTTAAACTATCCGGTAATAACCAGCTATCAACGTTGGAAGTCAATGTTCAGAAATGAGTTTAAAAGATATGTTTGAAATGTCGTTTGATGAAATACAGAACCCAATAAAATTTAATGATACGATAAATAACAATAATTTTGATTGTATTTTATCTGTAAAAGACCTTTCAATTCGCATTATGATCATAAATTATTAAAGTTTTCTGAACCGTTAAAATAAATTTTTACGACACTAATTAGATATTTAGATCTATATTATAGTAAAGCTCCATAATCTGGAGACCATATAGGTTCTACCACATAGGCGTGCTCACAGGGTATGCCTGGGTACCCCCAGACCCTTCACCAAAAACGACAAGTGCCCTAATTATTAATTAAGTGTAAATTAAATTAATGAAATTATTGACGAATTCAAAAATGTTGTTCCTTTTAAACGTTGATTATCATTATAAGATTGTATTATCTATATATTATTATGTAATATTTATTAGAATGAATAATAAAATAAAATAAATATTTTTAATGCATTTGATATCTTTAAAACATTTGTCTGTACTCTGTATCTATAATTGTTTTCAAAATTATTTTGAACCGGAACCAAAAGTCTGCGCACACCAATGACCATAGAAATTAGAAAGTAAGTAAATCAATCGAAATAGTTCAAAATCATAATATTTAACAAGAAGCTTTTACCATTGACCATACATTTACAAGTTGAACCACAATAACAAACTTTTTTTGAATACAATTTGATTTGCCTATTGGCGATTTAAAGCTTGTCAATTAACTGGCCGGCGGGGGGTGGATTTTTAACGGGGATCATGTAAAATTAAAATGTAAATTTAAAATTATTTTACATGTTCCCCGGTACAAATCCACCCCCCGCCGGCCTGTTAATTGATAAGCTTTCAATCGCCAATAATGCTTTTACACGTAGAGTGGTGGATAATGGATATATCATTAATTGTTCATTATCTCATTAATGGACATAACAAATAACAATCCTCCTTAATTGATAGCATAGGTACATAATATGGGCATAAAACAATAGGTCTAAGAATAAATAAATTAATAATTGAATAAATTAATAGCATTAAGATGTAAGTGTATAATTGTGTTATTTTATAATAAACATATTTAAATATTTATATTAAACTATTTAAATTTATATTCAGTAAATAAGGTTGGGAGGCGACTCTTTTGGGCTGGTTTTGCCATTTATGTCGAAAAGAAAGCGTTCTTATACACAAGGTACTATGTTGCTCACCAGAAGGCGTAAGAGTGTAAGACCTAAGACCACTTGGTACCACTCTGTAGACCAAGGTTGAGGGGGGAAGATCAGGTGTTTCCTAACCTAACCTAACCTAACTAGGTGTCAAAAGATATGGAGCGTGTTGAACCGGATAATGATTGGTCAGTCCTAGCTGATGATAGAGAGAGATGGCATGGCATGTGTTTGTCAGTTTGGTCTTAAAGCCTAAAGGCAGTCAACTACGATGAAGAAGAAAAAGTTAAGGTACAGAGATTAAAAGCAATCATAAGGAGTTAGTATACTGTGGTTCTAAGCATTTTTATATATTTGTATAAAATAAAAAAACAATATATTTTGTGAAATTTTATTTCATAACTTTCTACATAAAATAGGTACATGATAAATTAAATTGATCTGCTCATTAATTTTTTTATTTGTTGTAATTCGTTCTTATTCTTGTCTTTTTAACTAGAGAGAGTAATAATACTATAGAATAATTATATTATAATACGTTCTAGTAATCTAGTAACATTGCATTTTGCTTATAATTAAAATTAAATCACATTTTAGTTATTACATTGCTCCTAATAAATGTAGTAAATGCAACTTAATATAACTGGTATCAACCATCATCTTATCAGTTCTATTGAAGCTAACTTGCTAGACTGGACCCAAGGTTTATAGATTATACAGGTTGCCTCATTTTGAAAATATCGAAAAAACAGGAGTGGGAGAAAATGGCGCTGTGACGTCATCGTCGTACAAACTATAAACAATGACAAGTGTTTCATATTATGTTTTTATGTAGTTTCGTACTTTCGTTTCGTTTATTTATTTAAATAAATAGTGTTTTAATTTGAATAATTATGGCTACGAATGAAATAAATAAACCTTAAGGTGGTTCTGTTTGCGCGGTATCTACTTGCGTTAATTATTCTGCAAAATCGAAAAATGAAGGGAGAACTGATATTTCATTCCACAGGTAAATACATTTGATTTTTATATTATTACTTTATTCAATCTAGCTATTATAACAATAATAACATAATTACAGTCAATCAAAGTTCACCAACTTTGATTAATTTAAAAAAACTTGGCAAATACAATGAAATTAATACATTTTTTGAGTGTATTATGAAATCAATAGGTATTTACCAATTTTATAAATTTAAAGTTTATAATATCATAGTTGAATATATAATATTATTACTTAAATTAAATGTTTATTCACTTTTTTGCTCATAATACATTTGTTTTGAGGTAATTTTTAATGGCTGTTTAGTGTTTATTTTAATACAGCTTCAGTAGAAACCCCTATTACCAAAATATATAAATATTTAACTATTTTAGTGTACACGGTGTACAATTAGTTGTCTAAATTATATATTATAATTAATTTCAATGTATACCTTAAATAAATTTTTGTGTAGACCTAGCCAATCTTGAGCAAAATACTTCAAAAGTAATAAAATTACAATTACTTATAGGTACTTTTCTGAAATGTAAGCTTAAACTTAAATGTAATTAAGTTACTTTATATCTGAAATATGAAATTAATATACTACTTTTTAAATTTCCCTATACTAGACCTATAGTTCATCTAATTTTATGGTTTAAAAATATGTCTTATATTTAGGTTTCCAAAGGACCTGTTTTATCAGAAAATTTATTAGTTTTATTAAAAAAAAAACAAAAAGCAAAAGCACAACTACAAAAATTGCAGAAATTTAGAAGACTGATGACATAGGGCATCTTGCGACTGAATTTTTTTTATTACAGAGTCATTAACACATTCATATTATTATTTATTAAGCAAACAAATTGAAATGTAAATACTTTATTTTGATTGAATTTTTTTATCATTTAATTAGAGTCTTGAAAAATATGTTAACTCATTATAATTATGTTTATGTTTAACATCCTCCCTTAAAATAATTTGTGTTATTATTAGCATTTTGAAATTAGCATTTTTATGTAATACAAATTTAAATATATTATACTTTGACTGCACTTTTTATAATCATAGCCTGTAAAAAAATATCAATTTATAGTAATATGGGTATTTTGTGCATTGTTATATTAATTTATTAAAATGTACCTACCATACCAAGACTGATTTTTCTTATTTTGGTTAGTAAAAAATATGAATTATTATTCTAAAAATAATGTTTTTATTATTATATACATATTTTATATATTAAATGTATTACCACAACTCGCAAGTGATTATTTTCTTTATTATTGTTAAAAATATATAAAGATTTTTCTATAATTTATTTTGTTTATTAATTCATTTAATACATTTATAGGAATATAATTCCTTTTAAAATAAGACTCATTATCATATTGGAAATTATTTATTAATTTATTCTTTATAATATTATACAAAATATCATTAAATATATAAAATAGGTAACTAAAAATTATGAAATATTATTGACAATGATAATATAAAAATAAAAATAAGTTAGACTAACTTCTTTACTCGACTATTATTGTAAAAAAGTGCATATAATATTAATGACAGGTTTCGAAAAAAATTCATCAGGTATAAAAATAAAAAAGCGTATAATATTATATCATATTATAATATTAATAATTTTAGTTATATTCTAAAATGTACATTTCGAAAAAATAAACTTTCTATATATTTTCAGAAAGAAAAAGAGTAAATAATTGTATGGCGAATACGTATAGAATATGGCAGGCCGCCGATTTTGTA